AAGAAATTTTATATTTACAGGTTAACAATGGCAGTAAAACATACACAGGAACTTTGACCTGTGTGGTTTTGAGCAGTGAAAAGGAATAGAGGGAAAGGAGACTGAAAGGTAAGAATGCTGCAACTGCCAGCCGGATTTGACATTATCAGCTGATAGGAGAGGGCCGGCAGCCCAGTTCTGGCTGCCAGAGGGTTGTCGTCTATGAGGTAGACTGAATGCATGCTGGGGCTGGGGAGGCCCACTAGAGGACTTTTGTGCAAAAAGTATTGAGATGCGGAATGAGGGGAGGAGTAATCTCCCTGAACCTTTTCCCTCAACTCCACAATTTCTAAATTTGTTCTTAGGAAGACAGGAGCAAATTATATACAGTCATGCATTGCTCAACGATGGGGATACGTTCTGAGAAATGTCTTGTTAGGCGGTTTTGCCACTTTCTGAAGATCATAGAGTGTATTTACACAAACCTAGATGATGTAACCTACTACACACCTAGGCTGTATGGTAGAGCCTATTGCTTCTAGGCTACAAACCTGCACAGCATGTTACTGTACTGAATACTGTAGGCAACTGTAACACATCAGTAACTATTCGTGTATCTAAACATATCTAAACCTAGAAAAGGTAGACTAGAAATACAGTACCACCATCATTTAAGTGGTCATTAATGGAAACGTCGTTATGCTGCATGTGACTGTAATTGGGAAAGTGCTTTATATGAACTGTAGGATGCTGTATGAAGTGTTAGTTATTAGTTGGAAGAAGACAGAAAGGAAAACTTTATATGTGTCATATGGATTTTGATATATATGAGAAGCTTCCAGAGGGCAGGGGAATCTGTTGGTTTTGGCTGCTGTTGGGTTTTTTGTTGCCGTTTGGCCATGCAGTTTGTTTCTTTGATGAGTCCTAAGTGTGTACAACAGGAAATTAAGGTTTAATGTAGCTTTTTATGTTTTCTTGGTTATTACCCACAACGCTCAGAGAACATCAGTGGAAATATCCTTAAACAGAAAAATAAACAGGGAAAGCGCAGTCGAGGGAGCAAAGGATCTTGGAAGATTTAATGAAACTAGTACCAGAAATAGTATTAGAATAGAGATTTTTGGCTGTATTTTAATTTTTTAAATTGTCTAAAATGCATCTCAAATGAGAACATTTGATCTTTTTAGCTTAACTACTTGCTTTGCGGATATTTCCTGAAATTATTAACTTGTTAATCAATCCATACCATAGGAAATAGTAAAAAGTAAAATGTGAACCAAAAGATGATTACATTTACAAATATAAATATTTAGAACATTTTGCATTCTCATATCTAAAGAGGGTTTTTCTTGTACCAAAAGTATCATAATTATTTTTAAAAGACTAAAATTTGGAGGTTTTACTGTGTTAATGTATATTTTCTAGAAAATGATAATTTTAATTTTTTCTTAAATATCTTGTAGTAGAGGAACTCTAGGATAAATTTTAATGGATAACAAGTTTAAACACTAAGATTTCAGGAATTAAATATATAATAGCTTCATAGTTAAAAGTATATAACTCCTGCGGATTGAGGATTGAGCATGGAGTGGGGACAAGAGTTTCAGCAGTAATTTGTAAGCAATTTTAAGTAAATGTTAATAATTACCCATTGGAAAACTGAACATCTTTATTAGCTTATTTCCTTTTGGTATAAACTGAGGCTGCCAGAAAAAAACCTTATCAACTGATTTCCTCTGGTGTATGGACCATTTGTATAGTTCTATTTAAATATACTAGTTTCCTCCTATAAAATGTTTTTAAAGGCTATTTTTTTTTTGGTATGGCACAGGAATTTTGTAACTTTAAACCCCCTTAAACAGAGAGCATTTGTAATTCTTTGTTAGTGGAGGTCGTTACGGGGTGTTCTAACATTTGCCAGCAAATGTCTCTTAGCTAGTTATCACATACACAGTGGGAAGCTTGGAGCAAATTAGGAGGAAAGAAGGGAAATGCGCCTTCTTTCTAATGAAAGTCCTTCTAATGAATCAACGAAACCACAGCAGTGCGGTCAACCTGCTGCATGGTTCCATTTCTGTGTTTCTGCCTTGGCACGGAGTTGTCCCTGGCAATGCTGGTCTGAGAGCAGGGAGCACGGAAAGTCAGATGGAAGCATTTCCTCTGATAAGTTATAAATAGACACTCAACACCATTTTTATTAGAGGAGCTACAATTTTTAGTTAAAGAATATCTGTAAGCCCCTTATAACCCTGCAGCAGTTTAGATATATGGCTGTTACAGGACTTAAATAAATAAATACATATGTGCATGCATGCACTCGTACCCCCAGACACATCTGTCGGTCTGCTTTCTGCTATATGATGAGCTATTCCAGTGGTGCTTTGTTATTTAAAACATACTTCAGGGCTCTCTTTCGGATTTATCTTCTGAGCCTGTAATGTAGCCATTAAGAACCCCAGCAGTTGCAAATGTCAGTTCTTTGGACAATGAACTTGATTTTTGAGAGGAGCCAAAAGCAATTTAGAGTTAAGTACAGGGAAATAAGATAGGTACAAGCTGATTAGTGCCATTTTGGGTCCAAAATGAGATATAATTATAAAATAATGAGAAAATTTCTTCATTGATGCATAAAGTACCTCCAGACAAAGAATTTCTGAGTAGTTTTAAGCAAGCACAGCATTCTTGGAATAAGGTATAGTTTTTCATTACAACAGTTGGAAGACGTGTTCATTTGAATGCTTAATCTCTAGGATGTGAGACAAAGCAACCAAGACGTCCATTGTCTCAGGGTCGTGGCACCTTCCCCATAGGGCTATTGTAAAGATGAAATGAGATAATGTTGGTAAGCTCTAAGCCCCCATGTTTGGCACGTGATAAGCCCTCAATAATAGTTAGCTCTGTATCATAACCATTAGTTTGTAAAAGTACTTAGAGGTCAGGAGAGCTCTTAACAAAAGTTATAAGATTCAGAAGGCATTAAAGTGGTAAGATAGCCGGGGTTATATAATAAATGGTAGTATTTCTTTATGGGTACATTGAGGGTGAACACTGTAACTGGTGTTAATGACCATAACTTTGCCTAACAGCTAAGACTATTTTCTGAGAATTTAGTGAGACTTTGTACTTAAGTTAACCTCTTAACAGAATTTTATTTCAAAATACAATTCTAAGCTTCTTATTACTGATATAAAGATATAAGGATTTTTATTAAGTTAGAGAGGTTCTTATGTTTGATATCGGCTTTTTAAAGTGTGGTAGTATTTCAAGATAAAATAATTTTGCTGGACTAACAATATTTTGGCCATTTGGAAGTAGAAAATAATCTAATCAATTACATTTTGCATAGTAAGTGTCTTTAATACCTTGTGTTTTTGAAGTAAAAATTGTTTCACTTAGAATTTGAAGGATTTTATTATTCAAGTGGCAAATATTTAATGACCTCTGATTTGAAAGAACTCAGAGCCATGTATCTGTAGTTAATTTCTCCTACTTGTTATTGTACATGTTTTATGGCATGGAATTTAGTGCCTTAATTATAAGAAAAGATATACATCTTTTTAGTTTTGTAGCTATCTTAATTTTTGATAAATTCTTTTCTCCACAAACTAGTTTCAAATTTAGTTAAACATTTGCGAATTATTCTAGGGTTGCTTCTAGCTATTCCACAGAGAGACAGATGTCACATGATTTGGTTGCTGTTGGCAGGAAAAGTGAGAACTTTCATCCAGTGTTTGAACATCTTGACTCAACTCAGAATACTGAAAACAAACCTACAGGAGAATTTGCTCAGGAAATCATAACAATAATCCATCAAGTTAAAGGTTGGTATATTTTGCACACACATTAGGGATAACACAAAAGTAATGTAGTAACGTTTCACGAGATACAGGTAAACACCTGCAGTATAGTTTAATAGTAATTAATACTTCATTGTAAGCTAGACTGTGAATTAGGAAATCTTTTGAAGAGAGTATCAGGCATTCATTTGAGCCTAGTTCTTTATATGTAGTTCCAATAACCTTGTGCTTCAAGTGTTAGTAGATTGGAAATTGCAAGTTAGAAAGGGAGAGGCTGGCTGCTGCAAAAGACAAGGCATACTGAGAGCAGTAAGAAACAATAACTGGGAACCTAACAGGGAGGAAAAAGCAACAAAAACAGATAGGAAACTCAAGAAATCAGGAAGCCTAGGTCATTTTATGATTCTTAAACCCCCCTGAGGGCATTCCTAGGACTTTGTATCTTAAGGATGATGCTGAGTGATCAATGAAACTTCTAGTTTGCTTTGGCATTCTTTATGTCTGGGAGTTGCGTAATAAATAAATACTTTTAATGGTTTGCATTAAATTGTTTTGTTTTTGCTCCTGGCGAGTTTCCATTAATTGGAAAATTCAGTGATATAGAACAACTTTCCCCAGTGATGCTACACAAATAAGGCAATTGTAGGTATTACAAGCTGGAGGCCTTCAAGAATTTAAAATTTTTTATTTTGTACTTCTACTAGACAATTGCATTAATCTTTCTTACCTTCATAAAATATATTTTGAAAATGAGGTTTTTTTTTCTCTGCGTCCCTCAAACTGAGGCATGTATTTACTTTAAAGCACATAGTTTGTCTGAAACAGTTCATCCTCTCAGCTCCAGTCCCTCTCACCCAAAGGAAATGTGATTCTTGGCAGAAATGGAGCTGATTTGCAGAAAAATCCAGGAGATTGTCCCAGAACAGGAACAGTAAATTAGGGAAGAGGATTGCTTAAGTAGCATTCTGATGGGCCAAGTGTATTCTCTTTCTCTGTATCCTATTAAAAGTGTGTAGCGTAGCTGATTTCTAAATGTTTTCATGCACTTTAATGTGAATTAAAGTAAAGTGGCATTAGAAGGCCTTCTGTGATATGCAGACATAACAGTTAGTATTTGTTTGAAATTGTTTTGATGTTTCAGGCTTGTTTTTGAAGTTACTTTTTATTTTCATTCAACTGTGAAGCTCTGTGCCATCTTTACTTTCCAGATATAGTAAGTCTTACCTTGGAGAAGAAAGGTCCTTGCTTTGAAAGAGCCATTGTCTTTTCCCCTGGACAAGTAAGCAGGCATGTCAGATAGAAAGAAAATTCTTTGATTAATAAATCAGGCATTTTTACTCTTGTTTGGGCTTGGGAAGGCACGTGAGAGCTACAAATTAGTCCGTGAAATAAATTTGGGTCGCACATATTTTTAAGAGAAAACAGGTTGAATTTTAAAAAATAATCCCTTCTTTCTGTGCTTATATGTAATCTTTTAAGTGAAATCAGCTTAACATTGAGATAAAACTGTTTGTTTCCCTTTTCAGCAAATTATTTTCCATCACCTGGTATTACTTTACATGAGCGTTTCTCAACAATGCAGGATACACACAAGGCAGATGTAAAAGAAATTACATTGAATTCAGATCCAGAAATACACAGGTAATGATTGATTACCATATTATACCCATTTAACTAATGGGGATAAACCTCAGAAAAGATTTGGGAAGGTGCTGCTTTCTGAACCTGCTCCCCTGGGCTTGCTGTAGACTCTAGGATTCCATTTCCTTCACAAAAATAATAGGATAATCCAAGCATTATCTGGCCACTGCACTTTGATGGAATGAATAGGATGCACTGAAAACATTGACTAGCATTGTTTAAATGTGTAGGACTTTGAAAATATTTACATACCTAACTTCACTTCTGCTGTCAATAGTAATTGCTGCCTGAGGTCCTCAGTAGAAGAATGAAAGACAGTTGTTAAGCCATTGAAATCATAGGTTGCTTCATGTGATCACAAATAGGTGTTCTGAGGGCAGCCAGATGAAACCATGTGTCTTCTGCTGGCACTTGTTGGAGCAGGTGGTGTACCCTGTCTTGTGAGCTGATTTGAATACATGTGAGAATGCGGTATATCACCAGAGCAAAGGTTGAGATTACACAGACTACTGATTTGAGAACCACTAAAGCTTCCCTGTAATATGATTCATAGGATATGAATATCCTGGGAGACTGCCATATAGGTGAAAAACTATCTGGTAGCAAGTTTCTTTTGCTTTCTCCAAAACATACTAGCTTTATTTCAAATTCTATTCTGTAATAGTAGAACCAAGGTATCAGTGTATAACATAATTATTTAATTGTACTATGCCTTTATTATTTTAGGAGAATAGATATGTCTTTGGCCGAGCTTCAGAGTAAACAAGCTGTGATCTATGAATCGGAACAGGTTAGTGAATACAATTTTTGATGAGAAATTATCTTATTGTTGGTATACTAATGGCAAGGAGATTGGTGGTTGGGAGAGAAAAGGGAGTTACAGTACATGAAGAAGGAGGATTGAAACCCAGGAATCTGAAATTAAAAAGCTCTTCAGGTGATTCTGACTATCAGTCAGGTTGGAGTGAGAATACTGACAAAAGACAAAAATATTCCCTAAGAGGGACAGTCCCTAAGGATAACAGCTTTGTAAAATTGACACGCAATTACAGCATTTGATATTCATCCCCAAACTCCACACTGTAAAGCTTATGGAAAGTATATTAGATACCTATTTTTTTTTCAAAGCAATCTTGTGGAATATATTTTTAAATTGTACATGGAATGAATGCACAGGAACAAAATTTCATTTGATATTGCCCTTCTGTTTACTGCAGAATGTACGAAACATTCTGTGGAATATGAACTAGCAAAATAAGGGAAATAAGGGACTAAATTTCTTTATTCATGTGTTGTGTGTGGTTCCCATCCAACACCTCCCCTCCCACCTCCCATTTCTTTGCTAATTAAAAAGACTGTCTTGACTAGCCAGGAGGGAAGAAAACTGGCTCTTGTTTTAGAAGAATTATATCAAGTTCTAAAAGAACTGCTAATTTATTCATTGAGAATAAAGAGTTTTTGTAGAGGAGATATTTTAATACATTTCTGATAGAATATATAAATAATTTTTTCACTTGTGAAATGATTATAATTTTTGCTGAATTTATGGAGATAGGTTAATTTGTTGAACAAATGATATTTTCAGACAATTTCTAATCATCAAAGTCCTATAATCAACTTACAGGAAATCTGTGCTTTTTAAAAAAATCACCTATAATTTAGTCATTTAACACAAAATATTATTTGATCATCTTTTCTGGCAGTCTTACTGCTTGCATTTTAACGTAGTCACTGTCATAGTATATGTAGTTTTATATGCTTTTATCTTGATCCATAATAACATTCCTTTTATGTAAAATCTCTGAATTCGCCATGACCTTTTATGATTGAGGCTTTTCAAATTTTGTTTTGAGACAGAGTCCTGGTCTCACCCAAGCTGGAGTACAGTGGTACAATCATGGCTCACTGCAGCCTTGACCTCCTGGGCTCAAGTGATCCTCCCACCTCAGCCTCCTGAGTAGCTAGGACTACAGACATGTACTACCACGCCCGGCTAATTTTTTTAATTTTTGTAGATACAGGGTTTTTCCATGTTGCCCAGGCTGGTCTTGAACTCCTGGACTCAAGGGATCCACCCACCTCGGCCTCCCAAAGTCCTGGGATTACAGGCGTGAGCCACTGCACCTGGTCCTTGTTAAGTTTTAATTAACTTTTTTCTTTTTTTTTTTTGAGACAGAGTCTCACTCTGTCACCCAGGCTGGAGTGCAGTGGCGTGATCTCAGCTCACTGCAACCTCCACCTCCCAGTTTCAAGCCATTCTCTTGCCTCAGCCTCCCAAGTAGCTGGGATTACAGGCACCCATCATCACACCCGGCTAATTTTTGTATTTTGGTAGAGATGGGGTTTCACCATGTTGGCCAGGCTGGTCTTGAACTCCTATTCAAATGATCCACCCACTTCAGCCTCCCAAAGTGCTGGGATTACTGGCATGAGCCACTGCACCTGGCCTAATTAACTTTTTTCAATAAGCACTTTTCGGCCGGGTGCGGTGGCTCACACCTGTAATCCCAGCACTTTGGAAGGCTGAGGCGGGTGGATCATGAGGTCAGGAGATCAAGACCATCCTCGCTAATAGGGTGAAACCCCGTCTCTACTAAAAATACAAAAAAATTAGCCAGGTGCCTGTAGTCCCAGCCACTCGGGAGACTGAGGCAGGACAATGGCGTGATCCCGGGAGGCAGAGCTTGCAGCGAGCCAAGATCGTGCCACTGCACTCCTGCCTGGGCAACAGAGCGAGACTGTCTCAAAAAAAAAAAAAAAAAAAAGTACTTTTCTATGTTGACTTCCACATAGTCTTTATTACCATAAGTTAAATGATTGTATATTATTCTTTTGACTTAAGTTTACCATGATTTATTTACTCATTCTTCCCTTCCTCTTAATTTTTTTTTTACATTTGAGTAGCTTCTATTTTTTGTTATTTTAAATATACTATTTTGAATCTGTTTAGGTAGATAATCTTTTCTTTGGGTTAGAGTCTCATAGGTGGGAATCCTGGTTCAATGTTAGGAGCTTTTCTGACTGTTTATTGTCAATTGGGTCTCAAAATATCTGTATTAGTTTACAATACCATTAGCAGGATGAATACAAGATAACTTATCTAGGACTTGTAATTAAGGTTCTTGTTAGATATGGTCTTTGTGCAACTAACAGTATTGTGAATGGTTTGTCTTCTGTCAAAATTCCTCAGACTCTGATCAAAATAATAGATCCGAATGACCTACGACATGACATTGAAAGAAGGCGAAAAGAACGGTTACAGAATGAAGATGAGCACATTTTTCACATAGCTAGTGCTGCAGAGAGGTAATCAGTAGATGACAAACATCCTGTTATCAGGGAGCTTTGGGTTTTACCATATTTTTACATTTTTTGTGTGATGGTAATTTTCATTTTAATATAGGGATTTGCTCCTTCAAATCCGTCTTATATGTTTAAGTGAAATCTATTAAAATGTTTCCAGGTTATTCAGTGATTATCATATGTGGTTTGATTTAAACAACAAAAACTATGGGGTAGGTGGGTATTTGAGGTCTTTATAATTCTGAAGAGGAGTGTTACTGCTTTTAGAATATTAGCAGGAGGCAGGACTGGCAAGTTTGGGGACTATTTAGCTTGAGCTGATTGAAACTCTGATACATTGCGGACTATTTAGCTTGAGCTGATTGAAACTCTGATACATTCTGTGCTTTAGATTCTGGGTTAGTCTTTGAATAGTAGAAAATTTCCTGAAGTCAGTACAGTTATCTTTTGGGACTCTCTGTGGATGTCTGTACTGGATAATTGTGGATAACTGTACTGACAAAAAGTGAAAAAAGTCCACATTTTGTGGATATCGTCCATGAAATTGAGGCAGGTGTAGTAGAAAATGCAGAGGAGACCTAAGTTTGAATCTCATCTCTCTCACTTTACAAGCTGACCAATCTTGGACAAATTTGCTTAGTCTCTGGAGCCTCTTCATCTGTAAAATGATGTTAAAATCAATTTATGCTATGGGGCAGTTATGAATATTAAATGAGCTGGCACATGTGAAGTACTTATGTCATATATGGCAAATAGGTCCTCAGTAGATTTTTCTTTCTTAACCTCATACTTCTGTTTAGGGGGCCTCAGTAGTCTAGATCAACCCCAGTTTATCTCTAGTTCTGAATACCACATGGATGGAACTCATGGCAACTCTGGGGCCCCATATGATTATGAGGTATAATTGAACAGGACAGCATTTCCAGTTCACTTGAGTTCTTACACTACTTGGATCTCCCAAAAAGTGAGACTGTATGAATACAAAGAGACAGTGCTAATTGTTTTTCCGTAATCTTTTGTATCAAATTGGTAAGATACTGTATTTGACAAGACCTTTAAGTCAAGTCTGTAGCTAACTAGGTCAGAATACGTGGACTTGATTCTGATAATAAGTTCAGGACTAATTAAAACATGGTGAAACGATGTGTTGAGGCATATAAAACAATTGAAAATGAAAGAGTTAAAATGTTGTCCCTTGCTGTGTGAAAGTCTCCAGTCTCCTAATGGTTAATGCCTGACATGACTGTGCTCCTTAATGACACAAGCTCTCTGTCATGCTTTCCTTGACTCAACAAGTGTAAGAAACCCTGAGTACCAAGAAACAGGTTTTAAAAACAGATTTAAGACAATCAACATATTTTAAAGATTGTAAGATGCTTTAGGATGTATATTTACCCCTTGACGTGATTAAGAACTTGAGCACTGGAGTTGGACCTGAGTTCAGTGCCTGGCTCTTAGATTCCTAGCTATGTGACCGACTTTGGGCAGATTATTTTGTCTCTGTTTCCTCGTCTGTAAAATAGGGATAAGAGTTGTACTTGCCTCACAGTGGTGATTAAAATTAAGTAAAGTGATGAGTATAAGGTAAAGTAGCTGGTCAGCATTAAGTACTATGAATGCTAGCTTTGAGGACAGTGTGATAGTGTGCAAGGATGTGTTCCTACAAGCTGTCTTTAGCTGGATCTGTTGGATTATTTTATTTGTATCGGATAGGTGGTGAGGCAGAGTGGAGCCATGAGGAGTTTTTAAAAGTGAGACATTACTTAACATTCATCCTGCAAAAGTAAACAATTCAGTAGTTTTTAGTGTATTCACGAACTTATGCAACCGTCATTACTATCTAATTCCAAAACATTTCATCACCCCAAAAGTAAACCCTCTACCCATTAGCTGCCACTCCCTGCCCCATTTCTCCTTCCCCCTTAGTCCCTGGCAACCACTGTTCTATTTTCTGTATCTATGGCTTTGTCTAATCCTGACATTTCATATAATCATTTTGTTGTTGTTGTTGTTTTGAGACAGGGTCTCTGTCACCCAGGATGGAGTACAGAGGCATGATCACAGCTCACTGCAGCCTCGACCTTCCGTGAGGCTCAGGTGATTCTCC